GTGACGCTCACCTGCTCCCACAAGGAAAGATACGACCCGAAGTCCTCATCGAACTTCAGCGCCAAGTTCTACAGAAACGGCACGTTCATCGGCCAGCAGCCCAACGGAGAGCTGACCTTTTCCAGCATCTCAAAAGGAAACGAGGGCTTCTACAAGTGTGAGCACCCCACAGCGGGACAGTCCCCAGAGAGCTGGCTGGCCGTGGAGGGGAGTCTGACCTGTGAGTCTCTGGTTCTAGTTAAAGGGGACATATTATGCAAAACCAAGTTTTTAATCATGTGATTGTGTACATTTGGGACTGTGGAGGGCCTATCAGCAGGCAAAGTGTGAAAAAAAAATGACTCAGTCATGTTTTTGTGGGCCGCCTCAGTCTGAATCCAGGAGATAAATCAGGAGGTTTCAGGAGTGGGTAGTTTCTGACGTCATTAGCTCTAGCTCATTATAATATTCCAGCCTTTCACCTGCATGTTGCCCCCCCCCCCCCCCACTTTCCCCCCTATCTGTGGCAGACGTCCTGGTAGCGTGAGCGTTAGCATGGTAGCGTTAGCATGGTAGCGTTAGCATGGTAGCGTTAACATGGTAGCGTTAGCATGGTAGCGTTGGCACACCGCCCGGAAGAAGTAAAATGTTACTCGTGTAACGGGAATAGCATGCTACTTATATTTACTCAACTAACAGAAATCTAGATTTTTATTAGCAGTAAATTACACAAACACCATATTTAGTCAGCGACCGTATTAACCCGACGTACAAACATACACATTTTAAAAAAAAAAGGTCAAATAAAGCCCATAACTCACCATTCAGAAACGTTGTTGCAGTCTACATTGAACAATTTGTTCGCTAGCTCGCTACCTCCTAAAGGCAGTTTTTCCCTCCCTGGGTCTCCCAGTGCTGCTCTGGGTGGGAACTGTTGTTCTCCTGTAAATAACTCAGAGTCTGAGCCGTTCTGTTTGGAGAACTGGGAGAGAACTGTCACGCTATAGAAATAAAATCGAATAGAATAAAATTGAATTTAGCTATTTTCTTCCTCAAAGGTGCCTAAATGGTTCCTCTTGTGTGAAAGTTTCTGTGTGTTTGCTGGCGTTTCTTTGACAGAAAACAGGATCTT